CAGTCTCACCGGCTGTGCGTGCAGCGTCACCTCCAGGGGAGGCTGACGATAACTCTGTCTTGCATGTCGGCTCTTCTCCCGTGGAGAGAACCCGGTTTTCTACAACGGGGATCTCCAATAGGGAGGGTGTCTTTTCGCAAGGTGGTGTCCACAGTATCCGCATCCCTGAGGGGTCGGGGGGCTCTGTGCAAGGGCGCAGCAGTGAGAGGGGTGTGGTCGCCAGCACAATGCAAACTCCACATCAATTATCTTGAGCTATTAGCTATTCTATTAGCTCTGAGGCATTTTTGTCCTGTTCTGACGGGCCATCAGGTTCTGATCAGGACGGAAAACACAACCATGGTTTCCTACATAAACAAGCAGGGAGGGACATGATCTCTTCCCCTGTTAAAACTGTCTCACTCTCTGTTGCTATGGTGCAGTGTTCATTTTCTGTCACTCAGAGCCACGCATATTCCGGGTCACTTAAACCTTGGGCCAGACCTTCTCTCCAGGGGGGGGTCCTCTTGTGAGAGAGTAGAGATTCCATGTCAGGACCGAAATGTACTCCCATTTCAGTTCTATTGTTGATGTTTTAACATTCCTTCAGGAGCAGCTGGATAGGGGTCTCTATTTCTCAACAATTAAGGTCTATTTGGCAGCTATATCTGCATGCCATGTTGGCTTTGATGGTGTGTCGCCAGGCGCTCACCCTCTTGCTATGCACTTCCTAAAGGGAGTCTGCAGGCTGAGACCTGTGCTTAAACCCAGTGTTCCCTCATGGGATTTAGGGTTGGTGCTTGAGGCTTTTGGCGGACCTCATTTGAGCCTGTTGAGTCAGCAGACATGAAATTTCTTTCATACAAAACTGCACTGCTACTTGCTTTGGTGTCTGCAAAGTGAGTGGGTGACCTTCATGCTTTGTCTGTGCATCCCTCTTGTACCCAGTTCACTCTGGATGGATCTAAGGTTTCATTGCGCCCAAACGCGGTGTATTTGCCTAAGATTATCCCCATAGCCTATAGCTCTATGAGTTTTGAACTACTGAGCTTCTGCCGTCCTCCATTTGCATCTGAGGAGCAGAGGAGGTTGCATTCCTTGTGCCCTGTGCGTGCACTACGCACTTACATAGACCGCACTCAGAGTGTGCGTTTATGTTACCAGTTGTTTGTCTGTTTTGCTAATCCAGCCTAAGGCAAGGCACTGTCTAAACAGCAGCTTTACCGCTGGATTGTGAAGGCTATCTCATTAGCATACGGCAGCAGGGGTCTTCCGTTGCCCCAAGGTGTGAGGGCACATTCAACCAGGGGAATGGCAGCCTCATGGGCCTTGTTTAAAGGGGTTTCTGCGAATGATATCTGCACTGCTGCCGCACAGTTTTTGTTTGGTTTTATCGTTTGGATGTGAGAGCCCCTTCAGTGGCTCACTCTGTCCTCTCTGCTGGGTCTACAGTGCACTAAAGTTTTGGAGGTTTGACTTTGGTTCGGTGGCTGCTCTGAGGGGCGTGTATATATGTCCCATACTATATGTGTTGTACCGAGTGAATCGACTGAAAGGGAACGAAATGTTATGAATATAACTTCTGTTCCCTGAAGGAGAGGAACGAGGTACAACACTGGGTTGCCCCACAGTGCAGCTAGGCTCGGTGAAGAGCGGCTGTCGAACTGAAGGATGACTGTGGTGTTACACGTATATATGTGCAGGCGGAGCCTCCCAGACGTCACCACAGATCATCTGCCTCAAAGACGCGAATAAAGGTGTCTTCAGTCAGGCCACACGAGGGCGTGATATCCCATACTATATATATACTATATGCATTCTGAAGAAATGATCCTAAATATTCAGCTCAAAATTTTGAGCTGCAACCCCCCCCCCGCCTCAGTCGATGATGGACTGGTTAGAGGTCTCACTCCAAACAAGCGGCTGCTGGAAGAGAGTGGGTGAGTTGTGATTAGTCTCTCTGCTAAAGAAACCTGGCAAAGCTAAAAAGATGTTTGGTGGCTAGTGCTAGGACCCTATATGTACTGTTGATGAAGTTAGGTGCTGTTCTAAACATTATTTGTGGCTATAGAGTGACATTTTGGTTGAGGTTTGTGCGTGGATCACTGTGTATTGCTATCGTGCGGTCATTACTAACGTTGGTATAACTAGAGAAGCAAGCGGTTGGCAACATTCATCTCTTGAGGGGGTGTCTAACTCGGTGTTATGGGGTGTTTGACCCTAAATTAATTTTACACTAGGAAATCCCTTTAATGGGCAGTGTATCTCCCTGTGTACTGTGCTTTATTTTCATCAGGGCTGTTCAGTTCTTTTGAGTTCAGTTTGGAGTGAGCTGTTAAAAGCAGCAGACCAAAGATTTAAAGTTTACATATAACTGAGTGAAAGGAAAGGTTCCATTACAAAAAAAAATCTATAAAAAAAATCTATAAAAGGTTATATTTCATTGTGTGTATGCATTAATTTTAGCCATTGATAGAAAAATACTCAGTATGACCAGGAACCCACAGCTATTATCCTATATGACCCAGAGTGACAGCCCTGCCTGAGACTGACACAAAAAATGTTCCTTTACATCATATCTGTTGAATGGGCATTAACTGAGGACTGTCTGGGTATTGGTTGTCTTTAGGTGTGGGTAAGAACTCACTGGGTAAACCTTCCTGTAATATTCTCTTCAAACACAGCAGTACGGCATTGCACCTGTAAGGATAACAGAGTTTGAGCGTATGGTCTGACCTGGATAAGACAGAAAAACCCTAGATTAAACCAAAGCATCAAGGTGACTAAGAGGACTTCATAATAAAGTTACTCCAGCCACTACAGTCAATAATAAACATATAGCTGGCTAACTAAAATTAACATAAGCAGGTAAGTCCACCCAAAGACACAGTAAAAGACTCCATAAAGTCCCTCATCAGTCTGTTTTCTTAATTGAATTACAAACCTTCACACAACCTTCACAGTCTAAGTGCAGTAGAGTCCGCTCTGCTCAGGATTCTGTCCCCCATCCTCCTGCTATGCTCAGCTGCAGACTGCAAAGCTGGTTCTTCAGGGGCAGTTACGCACTGCGCCAGTAGAGGGCACTCTCATCAAATTCAACCACCTTTCCAACCCCAGGCCTCATTCATAAGCTGTACTGTATATGGTCTCATTCACGAAACCAGAGCAGAACAAATTTATGTGTAGACTGTGAGCAGAGAAATGTTTTCATAGGTCTGATTTGTTCTTAGCTTCAAACATCTACAGCTGCTGCTGACCACCAGAGGAGTTTGTGTAAGTGAAGAAATTACCGAAATATTACATGTTATAATCAGAAATTTCAGCAATACATCGATATGTTTGAAAAACCTGATTTAAAGACAATTTGAAAAATCAATATTTAACATTTATGTAACAATACAATAAACAGTATTAAGTTTAGGATAAGGATAAAAATAAGAAATGGGTCGTTTCATCTTTTTTTTTTTTTACATGTTCAATCAGAATTTTTGATTAATCTGAAAGACTGATTACTCAGTGCTGTGACTCTGTGGATGATCTACATAAATGAGTTTCCTTCAGTATATTTAACTGTCTGATCCTTATGAAAGATTCTTTGTCACATCTTTAAAAAGTTTACTGAATCTCCACACTGAAAATTTACTGCCATGTTAGGTCATCCGGCCATGCTGCTGAGGTCAAGTCTACTGTGTGATAAAATACAAATAGATGTGGACTCTGTTGGTTTTCTGAATAAAAATTACTGATGTAAACTTACATTTAACTCATTTTAATATTTTTAATACTTAATCATTATATTGTACCAAGAAAGAACATGTAACATTGACCTGATACAAACTAATAACTTTTTACCATGCCAGAACATGTCATCTAATCCAATAACTTTAAATTTCAACATGACACTCTACACTGTCCAGAACAGAACTTTTTATTTAATTTTCTGGTTTTTGTACCAGTTATTTACTCCTCTTTTTTTACTGTCATTATTTGTGTCTATCTATATTGATTGTATTTACTTACCTGCTTACCCTGTCCTTGTGATGCTGCACTGACCTGATTTACCCTCTAGGAGGTTACAGCATCATCTTTATTGAAGTATTGTTCTTACAACGAGAAGCATTAAAAAAAATGACCAAAGCATGTCAGATTGGGAGTTCATGGATAGTAATACTAAACGTGAAAATGTTGATGAAAGTTTACATTGTTTTGTAATCATGCAGGTCAAAGTAAAGTAGTGGCTTATTCTAAATTTAAAATAAGTTACACAGTATTAATGATGACAGAAGAACAAAATAATAAATGTCATGATGATTTAAAAATAAGATGACAGATTTGGTACAATGTTTGTCCATATTCGCTAACAAAATAAAAATAAAAAAACAGAACCCCTGTACTACCTCATGAGCATATTCTTACATGGGTCTTGTGCCTAGAAGTTAAACAGCATAAATGTCTTGTAGGCCAGGTAGAAAACACAGGAGACAAAGGAAGATGAGGAGGTGTAAAAAAGATGAAGCCATTTTAACGTACCGATAACACACAATGCACAAAACTCCATGTCCCATTAAAAAAGGTCTTAATTTGGAGCATTTATTGCTGTTGTTTTACATTTATGTGTTTTTTTACTTCAAATCTTGTATCATCATGTATCAGTGATTTCTGTTCTGCTGTTTTGTATTTGCGTTGAATCCTCTGAGCATTTGCAGCACAGTTTGTCTATTTAAGACTGTTTAGGCTTTTGATAGGCCTTTGTTGACATCGGTTGAAAAACCTAAAAAGGGCACAGTTAGTGTCTCTGATGTCAGAGTAAAAATTCTCTGCAGGCTACAATAAACACAATCACAGTATTTGGCAAAGAGAGGAGGGCTTATCTCAGTAAGTGTTACGCTTATTTTCTCCATGTTCAGCGATACCTTAATTTCTTCCCTTGTGTTTCTTGTGCTAGTCTACAGAAGGTCAGTATCCTTTGGGATGGTCTGTTGATCAACCACTAAGGGATCAGTGCCAGGTGTGCTTCGTAGTCATACGGAAGAAAGCACTTCCCCTGATACCTCCCTCTCTCTTCCCATCCTCTCAGCTCTCTTCACATCCATGACAGTGAAGAGAGGTTCCTGGGCTGTGACAGAGTCCTGCCGATGTTTAGTAGCAGCAAAGGATGTTTTGATGAAGGCGTCAGAGTAGCGTTTCTTCAGTTCTGGGTCGGGGCAGAACAAGTATTCATACACAGCTGCAGCCAGAGCCCCACCCAGAGTTGGGCCCACCCAGTACACCTGATATGAAAGAACACACACAACAACAAACAGTAAAGCAAAGAAACAATCATCTCAATATGTAAAAATGTCTTTACATTATGAACAATCATAAGCAATACATCATTTTTCACTTTTTAAAGTTTATTTTGAGCTTTTAGTAAGGGGGTAGTAAATTGACAAGCAAACTAGGGAAGAGGGAGTGAAATGATGTGCTTTAAAGAGCTGTGTAATGGACTTAAACCCAGGCTGTCCACTTTCGAGACCATAGCCCTTGTACATAGGATGTGACATGACAGATGAGCCAAACAGACTCCACAATCAGTTGAAAATTACTATTGAATAACGATCTATTTTTGATTTAAAATCTTCTGAAATATGTGTCACATTGATAGCCTGGGTTTAAATTATTTTATGAAGATTTCTGAGCATAAGAGGAATAAAAACATTCTTTTCATAACATTTATAATCTTTAAATCACTGTCAAGAACAGAGTTGTTCTGTTTTTAATGAACTGCCCTTAAATTGAGAGTCAAATCTGATTGGATCATCTTTTAGAAAACTTCCTACTATTAATGGTTAAGCTCTGTGAGGGCAGTAACAAGATTTTAAATTTATATCCAAGTATTGGGGACATGTAAAGGAAGGAAGAAATAAGATAATGGGAATAAAGGAGTACAGCAATAATTCTATTCTAATAACATTATGAAACTTAATTCTCCTAATCAGTAATTCTTGTAATATTAAGACTCTATCCTTCATCACTTTATTATTAAAATCTTTACTTTTTAAACTCCAGACAAAAAGACTTACAATCAAATTTCTGGCTCCCAAAATAAATCTGAAGTTACATTGTTTGCTTACTTGGAATGATAACATAGATTACCATTTTTGCCACAGTCAAGATACCCTCCTCTTGAAGACAAATTTAATTTAGTAAGTAGGTAGTCCATAGCAGCACTTAGTTAACCAAAAGTATCAAGCCATTTCTGCGGGGTTCGGGAATTAATAACAACCAGATGACAAGAATCTCTGGGATAGAAAATGAAATCAAAACATGACAGCAAAGAAGACAGTATATGACCATCATTTTAGAAATATACATGTAACACACAGGGCCGGAGTGCAACTCATTTTCAGCCCTGGGGTTTCATGCCTCAGACCAGCCCACTTTAGATTGTGACTTTTACCTTTTGGTAAAGCAATATGAGGGTATGCAAAGTAATCACAACTATCAACAGACTTATCTTCATCTGTCTCATTCCTAACTTGTGGTTCAGGGTCATGCTGCTGAGCTGCTGCCTCTGTAATCAGTCCCTGTGTAAACTCTGCTCTCCCTTTCATACTTCCTCCAGTTTCCCTAGACTCGCCTGCACCTGTATCACAATAAAAAAAAAATTTAAAACTCTTTTAGGCTTTAGTAAATTTGATGAGGGAAAAAACATTTTGACTTAACCAGTTATGACATTTTCATTGGTAAAATATGCAGGCTTATTTCATATTACTTTCGTTACATTCCTTTTCATTCTTACTTTCAATGCTAAAAAATATTACGGGTCTCTACTATTGTTTGGGCATAGAAAGAGGTAATATTGGAACTCATGCTTGCTTGTTGATACACTCTGTTACCACTGTTCACCTGTTCCTTTGTTTCCTTTGTTTTTGTCACATGTCCTGATAAACAACCAAGATTAAAAAGATGACAGATAGCAGGACAGATGCAGGCAGCCAGCCATGGCTATAGCTTTTTATGTACATACATATACAATATCAATAATAGAAGCTGGACACACACATGTGAATACTGTTAAGGAATTAAATTTGAATGGATCGTTCATAAAGATTGTTTAGCCCTTCAGCAAAAATGCAATGAAGAGAGCCAGACAAAAAAACAGAAACCTTGACAAGAGGAAGAAGACTGGGAGTTCAAAAGACGAGGATGCTAAACGTCGAGAGCTGTAAAGTTTTCCATGTTTTTACTGTCATCAAACAAACTGTTAATCTCTTGCTCACTTCATATTAAATGCGTTGGTATGTGACACCATAGGTCAATCAGGAGACAATACAGAAGTAACAGGCTGAAAGGGGGCATATCGCCACCTCCTGTGAAAGTGTTGTAACCACAGACTGTATATACTATGGACAACTTGGTTCCGCCTCCCGCCTGTATACGGATTTGAAGCCAAAAAGCTCTCAGTATTTCCGGGATTTTTCTATATTTCCTGAAACCAGCGCTGCGCAGTAGCGTTGTGTGCATTCGGCGGGAGAGTCGCAGAGAATCGCTGTGATGATGCTCGGCTCAAACAGCGTATCCCCCCGGTGAGCTATGCAATCCCTGAACGCCAATAGGCTGTATCAGTCAATCAAAGAAAACATGAACCCCCTAATAACTTTGAAAAACAGAGCTTCACAGAAAAAATAAGACTTTAGCACAAACCAGTCTTACAATAACTACATGTCAACACTGCAAGCAGATGGGAGAAAAATTTATGCTCTGTGTAATAAATTTCTAAAGTTTGTCCACAGCCCCATAAGCTTTGCTGGCGGAGGCGGGATTTATGACCTACAGTGCATCCGTAAAGTATTCATACCACTTCACTTTTTCCACATTTTGTTATGTTACAGCCTTATTCCAATATGGATTAAATTCCCTTTTCCCTAAAAAATTCTACACAAAATACCCCATAATGACAAAAAGAAAAACTTTTTTTAGAACATTTTGCAAATTTATTAAAAATAAGACACTCAAATGTTGCATGTACATAAGTATTCACACCCTTTGCAATAAAACTCAAAATTGAGCTCAGGTGCGCCCTGTTTCCACTGATCAGCCTTGAAATGTTCCTCCAACTTGATTGCAGTCCACCTGTGGCAAATTCAGCTGATTGGACATGATTTGGAAAGCCACACATGTCTATATAAGATCCCACAGCTGACAGAGCACGTCAGCGCACAAACCAAGCCATGAAGTCGAAAGAATTGTCTGTAGACCTCCGAAACAGGGTTGTATCGGCTCACAGATCTGGGGAAGGTTACAGAAAAATATCTGCTGCATTGAAGATCCCAAAAAGCACAGTGGTCTCCATCATTAAGAAATGGAAGACGTTTGGAACCACCAGGACTCTTCCTAAAGCTGGTTGCCCAGCCAAAATGAGCCCGATGGTCACTCTTACAGAGCTCCAGCGTTCCTCTGAGGAGATGGGAGAACCCTACAGAAGGACCACCATCTCTGCAGCACTCCACCAGTCAGGCATTTATGGTAGAGTGGCCAGACAGAAGCCACTCCTCAGTAAAAAGCACATGACAGCCCACTGGGACTTTGCTAGAAGGCACTTGAAGAACTCACAGACCAGGAGAAACAAAATTCTCTGGTCTGATGAAACGAAGATCAAACTCCAAGCGTCATGTCTGGAGGAAACCATGCACCGCTCACCACCTCGCCAATACCATCCCTACAGTGAAGCATGGTGGTGGCAGCATCATGCTGTGGGGATGTTTTTCAGCGGCAGGAACTGGGAGACTTGTCAGGATGGAGGGAAAAGTCAATGCAGCTAAGTACATCGAAATCCTTGATGAAAACCTGCTCCAGAGTGCTCGAGACCTTCGACTGGGGCGACGCTTCATCTTCCAGCATGACAATGACCTAAGCACACGGCCAAGAAGACAAAGGGGTGGCTTCAGGACAAGTTTATGCATGTCCTTGAGTGGCCTAGCCAGAGCCCAGACTTGAACCCGATTGAACATCTTTGGAAAGACCTGAAAGTAGCTGTGCACTGACGCTGCCCATCCAACCCCACTGAGCTTGAGAGGATGTGCAAGGAAGAATGAGGAAAAACTCCCCAAAAAGTTTTTCTCTTTGTCATTATGGGGTATTTTGTGTAGAATTTTTGAGGGAAAAAGGGAATTTAATCCATTTTGGAATAAGGCTGTAACATAACAAAATGTGGAAAAAGTGAAGTGGTATGAATACTTTACGGATGCACTGTATACTGCAGCCCATCAACAGAGGGTGCTGTTCTCGCAGTGGCTTCACCCAACAAGGCGGCAGACGCCGTTCATTCTATATACAGTCTATGGTTGTAACTCACCCAGTCAGTCTATAACCATAGCTGGTGCGATGCTTGTCAACAGCAAAAAAACAAAATTCGATGAATCCGTACATACCACCTGTCCTACATGCATTAAAATAAACATGTTTGGTTCTTTACCTGTTAGACCCAAGTCCTCTAGTTTAACTCTGGTAAATAAAGATATCTTACTAGTTAACAAACTATAGCTGAACATCTCTCACAGCAACTTTTGACAATATTATGAGACTAAAGACAGTAAGTTTAAAGTTCCTGTGTTTGCTAAAACCGTTTGTTCATACCTATAGATACTAATTCATAGTCTAACTCAAACTCAGAATCAAGTTGGGTTACCCAGTGATTATCCCAGCACCATGTGACCATGGCTGGGCCAAATGATCGGGCAGGGTTCATACTGGCTCCAGTGTACGGGATCTGAAAGAACAGACACAGCCAATATTATTATTATTATTACTATATATTATTAAACCACTTTCAATACCAGAGAAAGGAAGGAGGCTAAGCATTCAATGGAATCTGGTGACATGTAGTGCACAAGTACTTTCATGGTCAGAAGACTGGAGGAAAGCCAAATGAAGAGATAACTTCTTGAACTTTTATTGTTATACACAGATTAGTCGATATGATGAAAGGGTGGGGCAAGGGCTTTTGGCTGTGATACATTCAAAACGAAACATATATTCAACTAAATATTTGTGATTAAAATACAACTCCTTCTGTTACTGGCTGAACCGTCCCTTTAGGAAGACAGTTTATGGGTAATGTAGGAGCTGCTGCAGTTGTGTGTTATGTGAGTGACAAAAAACGTGCACTGTACCAAAAGTATACAGTCTCTCCTCTACCAACATTGAAGTTCCCCAGACTGCCGGTTATTGGCATTAATGAGCCAATCAGCTGTCTCTCACTATGGTCAGAGACATACAGCTGAGTCAGCAGACAATTGAAAGAGATGAGGATAAACATGAGCACCAAAGTTGAATAGTTTTGAAATTTTCATTAGTTTTTCTTTTTATTTTGACTTTTTGTTTGTCAGTTTAGTTGTTCTTTTTTCGAAAGTGTTGTTTCAGTTAAGTCTTGTTGAAGCGTTTGTTTTAGTTTTTTTGGTAAGACTTAAAAATCTATTTGAAAACTTAAGATGAAAAAACGTAACCACCCTAGACAAACACTAACAGATATGTGTCATTTATCGTGTTTGTGTATTTAAACAGAAAAAAAATCTAAACTACACAAGAACAGCAGTAGCTGTAGACGGGAGCACAAACAGGTTAACTGTTAATACAGGAAGCAGTCTATCCTCAGCCAGGTGACCTGCAACTGCTGCAACTGAGGAAAAAGGAAAACATTCACCTTTTCAGAAGGTGAATTTAGTTGGATTAATCAACTTAAAGGGAGACTTAAGGGGTGAAGTATTCCAGGACTGTGCTGCATTCCTCAGTGACTTCAAAACCAGTAAAATGCTTGGATCCATAAGGCAGACTCCTGCTGGTGTAGCATCAAACTCTGAGGGATCTAGGCTAAAGATACCAGCAAAATGTTCACAGAACCAATGAGGATGCAAGAGACTGGTTGTGGGTGGTGATTTTTGCCAAGGCAGCAAAGTTGTCTCCCCATGTTTTGGCCAGGACCTTGATAGTGACAGTACATTCCTCCCCAGCACAGGAGCTAATAAACTGGTACATGAGAGGAAATCATCAGTGGCAAATGAAGAAATGATCAAAAGTTGTGGAAAGCCTCTTGTCCTGAATTGTAACGCTCGCTGGGACAGCACTTCCGATTTTCTGAACAGACTGCTGGAATTGAGAGATGATCTTCACCAAGTGCTTAGAGAGGAGGCATGGACACACCTCTCTCAGGCAGTAGGACTACACTGGAAAACAAGTTGTTTAAGCCTTTCGCTGTTCACACAGACACCTGTATCTAGACCAACTTCAGAGTGACAGCAGGTCACTATCACCAGCAGTGCCATGCCTGCTTAATCCTAAGGCACATAGTCAAATCCTTACTAGTTGGATGTGATTTCCTCAACATGCTTCTGTAACATCCTGAGACCTTTCCCCCCACTGTCCTCAAACTTATGTCACTCTACTCCACATGCTGTTGCCGTGGCAATGCGCCATTCACCATCAAACAGGAAATAGGTTTCTAAAAGGGTTACATGATTAGTAGAGTCCCCAAAATGTGGTACACAGGTACCCATTTGCCACATCCACAAATTTTCACAAATCCATTCCCTGCAACACTATGTTTCTGAGATGTAATTTCATGGGCTGATGCTTCATGTCTACACAGCCACATATGTCCCATCCCAACGTTACCCAAATACTGACATACGCAGAGGTGAGATGGCCCTTTCAACGCTGCTGACAGCTTTTACTTTATTTTATTTAGTTCGTTTAAAAATCATGTTGTTTTAGTCAGTTGTGATTTTTAAAGCCTCTTCAGGATTTTTATTTCAGCTGCCAACCTTTTTTTTAAATTTCATTTTCGTTGATTTGTTGGTTTTTGTTAATGATTATGACCTCAGTAAGCGCTAACCATCTCTGTCAGATTTTCCAGAGACTCCTTGTGCTGATATGAGCAGATTTCATGAGAAAGGTGGAAATGTTTATGGATGGGTACCTACCAATCCTTTTCTGACTAGCATGGAGCTAACATTAGGGGCATGTGAACCCGGATCACACCAAACAAGACTGAATGGCCGCACAGTCCTGCACCTCCTACAAACACCAACCCCTTCATAAGACCAGAAATGGTCACCAGGATGAGTTTGTGGCCCCTAGGCATCCTAAATGTCCAAAATACATTCTGCCAACACTTTTCACGACAGTGACTTTACAGAGCAAGTGGGGCCTCCAACACCCATGCTCCACGAACACCTCCACTGCCCATATGCCAGTCGGGCTTTTCTACCAAACTGTGCTACAGTCAGCTTCATCTGTGTTTCAGCCCATTCAAGCTCCATCACACTCCACAGACAGCAGTGATAATGAACAACCAGAAGAAAAGGAATGAATCCCTACACTGCGGCCAGATTGGTTTAATGGATAAGTTGTACTTCATTGATCAGATATACTCTGTTGATCTCACACTGGGGGAAATTCTCTTGAATCAGGCTCATGCAAAGACTTTCTTTACTAGTTTGAATGCTACTCTTAGGAATAACCACTGGACTGAAAAGACCATGGCCATTCAGCTTAGATTTAGCCTGACTTGCACAGCTAGAGCTTTTGTTCATGAAATCTCTAAGTCTGGAGGTACCAGCACATTGCAGAAGAAAAAGAGACTGCCTGTGGGCTGTGCTATATGAGCATGTTTCAGCCATTGGCATTGAGCTGAAGCATAGAGTAAGGAGACATCTATGGTGACCTCAGAGAGACAGAGCAAGATTGCATCAGTGTGGAGCTCTTTATTAACGCCCTGTCAGATGCAGAGGTGGTTCAGAAGCTGTTGGTGGAACCCTGGCCAGAGCTTATGAGATTGCACACAGGTACAAGGCCTCAAAAAGAGCTGCCAGCTGCAACAAAGTTTATGTGATCAGGGGGTGTGGCTATGCAACACAAGGAGTCCAAGCAGCCACAGAACTTGAACCCCATTGTGCAGAAGAACCCACCAAGCCACTACTTGAGGCAGTAAAACCTGATAGACCATGGCAGCCTAACAAAAGCAACAACATAAACGATGTTGTCTGCCACACGGGCTCTGGTGTGGCACACCTGCAAAAGACCTGCCCTTCCTCTCATGGACCACCACAACCCTCAAACAACATCATATCCAAGACACACCCTCTCATATGCACAGTAGTGGTCAGTCCCAAGAGCCAAGGGGAGGAGATGTTCATCATCATGAAAATGATTTATTGAGTTGAAATGTGTGCTCTGCTGGACTCTGGAGCCCCTACACTCTCAAAATGAATGTGTTAAAATCATAAGCATTTTTTGTGTTATTATATTTTAACATTTGTTATGTTATATTTACACATCCTGTGTTATTATCCTTGACACACTTTTGAGTTAATGCTATTTTAACACATAAAATAGTTATCATGTGAATTAAACACAACATGTGTTAGCCACTGCTAGGTCAAAGAGGTTATTAATGAAAACACCTGCCAGGGTTATTTTTAACCAAGCAGTAGCTTTATTAATTGTCCTACTTTTGAATAATTCTGGAATCATCTTTTTTTTATAAATTCTGTAACTTTTTTCTTTATTTATTTTTAATTTTTTGAGAGGGAGGAAGACCCTCAGCAGGGGAATCAAACCTCCAAACACCCAGTCTCAGGGTGGACCACAAGGCCACTGAACTGTATTTGAGACCAGATTCTTGAGTAGCACGGTGCCCTGAAGACAGGAGTATACCTTTCCTCACACACAGACGTATGGTTCTCTTAATTGACTATGGTTTGGGTTGTACTATTTTAACTCAATAAAAATAAATTATTAAGTTCCATTTCGGGGGGAAATAAATCCAAATATATAAGTCCCATTTCTGTAGGACCCCCAGCTGATCTGTCCACTTTACTCAGACACCTGGATGGTCTCTGGCTGGGTCCTGGGTCATGGAAGCTTGTAGCTCTAATTTAGGGGTGTGGATTGGAGCAATGCACTGAGAAAGTTGCCACATGAACCAGCTCTGGAAAAAAATCATGTTGTGTAATCCCTTCTTTGATCCTCCTGGGGGCAGCACTCGCCACTGCCTTTGATGGCTTTGAAATGCAACAATGGTAGCTGTGCTAACAGCTAAAGGCTAATAATCAAGCTCGCTGAGGAGTTGGTCTGCCCTCACACACACATTTACCATGAGATCGATGTGTGTGTGTGAGAGGCACATTTACATTTGCAACTCAAACTACACGCCACGGGAGTAATGCCGTTGTAACCCGGCCCAGCGCACAGCCTCGAGCCGCAGGGGACGGTTGTTTGACATGCCATGTCTGTATTTTAGGTGTTTCATTGTTGCACTGATGGTTTAAGAATTAAATGTTTACAAAATGTTTAATGTTTATACTCTGTGTTTGCACTATGTTTTGCTCTCAAGTTTGCACTAAAGTCTTACAAAGTCCAAGATTTTGCACTGCTGCCTGAACCAAATAAATTTTATAAAAGTGACTTGAGATTCAAGCAATTGTTTATTCTTTTTACTGACCAGGTTTGGTAATTTAGCAGATAATCGCAGTAGCTCAGGAGGTAGAGCGGTCGTCCAGTAACCAGAAGGTTGGTGGTTCGATTCCCCCCTATCCCAAGTCTGTCCGTTGTGTCCTTGGGCAAGACACTTAACCCACCTTGCTCCCAGTGTGTGTCCTCCACTGGTGTATGATTGTGAGTGTTGTGTGGTGGTGGTCGGAGGGACCGTAAGCGCAAAATAGCAGCCACGTTTCCGTCAGTCTGCCCCAGGGCAGCTGTGACTGCTAAGGTAGTTTACCACCACCAAAGTGTGACTGTGTGAGCGAATGAATGATGTATCCAATGTAAAGCTCTTTGAGGGTCTCTGATAAAGCGCTATATGAAATCTGATGTATTATTATTATTAAAATTATATTGAACATTATTTGTATTTTAATATTTTATAAACAATAACACAGTTGTGTGTAAATTGTATGAAAATAAAACATTTTTGTGTGAAGAATACATAACGCAGCTATGTGTAAATTGCATGAAAATAAGACACAGCTCTGTGTTATCTTTGTGTAAACCCAACACAGTTGATGTGTTGACAGATTTTACACATGTTGTGTGTTAAATGTCAGGTCATGTGTCAAAACAACACATTGTGTGTTGTCCTTAACTAGACACACGGATGTGTTAAGAAATAACACATGATGAGTTACTTTTGACACATTCGTTTTGAGAGTGTAGAAATGTGCTGTCTCTCCTCCATCCATGCAGATTTAAAGCCCCAATTTCACACAACTACTACACAACATTGGGGCTGACCATTTGGCTGTCTTTGTAGAAGCCTACCGACTTTCTTCATTTCTTCTGTACTCAGTTATCTGTTAGCCCTGTTAGCTGAAAGTTGCTCTACTCTGACATGTACTCCATCAGCCCCACTGACTGTGGCCCCACCAACATCCTGCAGCATGAAATCCTGACCACCCTTGGGCCCCCTGTGAAACAACCACCTTGCAGGTGGCCAAAGAGAGGCAAATCAGCAGGTTTGTCAAAGTCTGGAGGTGAACCCGGCGCACCCTAGCAACAACAGCTGAGCCCTCGTCATGATGGTAAAAAAGAAGGACAACACCCCCAGTTTACCACTACTGACCATTACAAATTAATGTGAGTTACTGACTCTTAGATTCATCTGGACATTGAGTTTTTAGAGCATCATAAGTAGACTAAGGCTACTGTTGACCTTTCTCTCTTAAGAATATCCAGGCCAAGGTTGTTGCTCATTTCCGCTTTTTCAGCACTTATGTGTTTGCTACATTAACCATGTTGTCTTTCCTGTTAATAGACATTTAGCTTAATCACCGAGGTGAATAAGGTGCAGTATTTGTTAACATTTATGGACATTCAAAGGCATTGTGAGTGTAGCATTTTGAGCCACTTATATTAGCAATACTGCTCATTCTTGTTTTTTTTTTTTCTGTCGTCTTTCTCATAACAGCTACACAAGTGTTAAGTACTTACAGCAAACAGGTGACCAGTACACACGGACAGGCCGATGGCCAGAGCAGATGAACCCTTCAGGTCATTACGTTTGTGGTCACAGGTAGCAAACACGGTGAAGACCAGCTGAAAGGTGATGAAGAATTCTACTACCAGGGCATTCCCCACAGAGACGCTCTCGTGTACCTGGGTCATAAACAGAAAGCAGACTTTTAATCAAATATCACTCTTCCCTATAAGTGGATGTATTATAAAAGAATCACAGTTAACGTCAAGGTTGATATGCTTTGTGGTAGGTGTTTCAGTCAGATTTGGATGACTTGAGTTTTAAAACTTTCACAAGAAAAAAATCCAGACAAGTTCAAGAGATCTCTAAATCCACAAACATGAAAATCCATCACAAACAGCACTTTTTTTTTTTTAATGATTAGTGGTTTAAGAAAAAGATCATTAAGGGCTGTCATTGAGAGTTTTTTTCCCCCCAGTATCATTTTATCAGTGGAGTAATTCTTTGAGAGTTCTGCAGTATTGGTGCATATGTTGGGAGGATTATTCATTTTTCAAAAGGACACCAGACAAGGCCGTAAAGAATTATAATAAATAAAAGCAGTGTCATCTCTGACATTGTTAGATCAGCAAAGACAGTTCAGTAATTGCTTTAGAAACAAGGACACACCATGGTGACCCCCATACTACCCCTAAAAGAGGCTGGGGTGATGCCGAACAGAATAGCGGCCCCTACTATGGCTCCCACACACTGAGACAGCAGGTAGAAAAAAGCTTTCGCCAAACTGAGCTTCTTGGTCACCACCATGGCTGCTGTGACTGCAGGGTTCATATGAGCTCCACTGATGTGGCTGAAGCACTGCACCATGGTGGCAATACTCAGGCCAAAGCAAAGTGAGATGAGCAACACATCAGGGGGGTGGGGAACCTCCTCAACAGCCCCCCAGTTGATGGTTGATCCCAGGGTGAGAAGAATGAAGAGCAGCATGGCAAAGAACTCAGCCCCCACACAACGCCAGAACTCTTGAGTCCAGATGCCTTTGAAAGCAGTCATTGCTTTGTCCTCGGGGCAGGAAGATGGAGACCAGGACCGACAGTGTGGGATATGGCAAGGGAAGCAACATTTCCTGGGAAAGATGACAGGTAGACGAAAACAGAGGTCATGAAATGAAGGTGAAAAGGTCTCAGCTCAGCTGATTCACCACTCTCCAGATGATTAACTTCAGGTCTATCTAAAACTAAAATTAGCTGAACCATCTCATTTCAGTGTCTTCAAAACTACTAAGTCAGTCTTTCGCTGACCCTCTCCATCTGCTGTTCCATCTGAGACCCCACAGTACATGACACACATTGTCATTTACTGATTGTCATTGTTTCTACACATTGTAATTGTTTATCATATAAACCAACATTTATGATTTTGGACTGTGATCAGAAACTAAACCTCTTCACAGGATATCAACCAGACACACTCATTTGTGTTTCATAATAATGGTCTCCTCGTCCGCCGTATTAGCCTGGAGCAATACCATATCATGAATCCAGGAATGCATTTTGTTCAATAATGTTGTGGGAGCCTTGTCACATTTTGGTTCATAAATGGGGGTGCAAACACAGTGAGGCCGTTGTAGGTCAAAAACAATCACTGTGCCAGAAGAGGAGAGTGATGTGGAAGAAATGCTGAAGTAGTTGATAAACAGGACTATTACACACGCAATGCACTACTACAAAATAAAGAAATAAAGCCATGCAGTCCAGCAGCAAACAGTGGTAGATACAGATCAACAGCTGACTTTTTTTTTGATGGAAGGAACATTAGTAATCATAAGGTCCTGTCTGTCACGACGGCGTATCCTCATTTTTCGGTATTCTTTAAGTAACTCTGCTGTGTCCTTCGAAGTCATCATTCACACATAGGACGACCTCTGTGTGTGTAGGGGCACATCATAAAGAGGGACGGGTCCAGGGAGCAGAAAGGCTGAAAAACTCCACGTGAAAAGAAATGCGCGTCTGCAGGCGCACCTGTATGGGGTGCCGTTTGTAAAGCAGCCCATTATAAAAACAACAGCAAGATTTTGTCATATTTAGCAAAACAACAGCAGGATTTAGTCACATTTAGCTTCAAACAGCATTTAAAAAAGTGATGTGAATTTTCGGCAGTCATTTTTTTGCACATTTACAACAACATTTAAATACTAAAACTAAATGTTAAATGTTAAATCTAAATGCTAAATATAAATCTTAAATATATATGTTAAATCTAAATGTTAAATCTAAATCTAAATGTTAAATCTAAATCTAAATGTTAAATCTAAATGTGTTGGGCGAAACTAAATATTTAGCTAATATGCAAATTCACGGTCGGAAACCGGAAGTGCCAAAATAAAAGCTCCAGAAGGTCATATTGATGATTCTTGTGTCGAAGAAAACGAATTAAAACCAATTTAAGGGGGGAACAAATACTTGGGGTGACGTTTCGTGTTAATAACTACGTACAATAGCAACAGCAACAACAAAAACTTTATTAGAAAGACTCGAATTTTCAGTGTCGCTTCTCCGTATGGCGCGGACACTGTACGAACACACGCACACACACATGCAGGTGCGTGTGTTCGTACAGTGTCCGCGCCATACGGAGAAGCGACACTGAAAACTCGAGTCTTTCTAATAAAGTTTTTGTTGTTGCTGTCGCTATCGTAGGTAGTTATTAACACGAAACGTCACCCCAAGTATTTGTTCCCCCCTTAAATTGGTTTTAATTCGTTTTCTTCGACACAAGAATCATCAATATGACCTTCTGGAGCTTTTATTTTGGCACTTCCGGTTTCCGACCGTGAATTTGCATATTAACTAAATATTTAGTTTCGCCCAACACATTTAGATTTAACATTTAGATTTAACATTTAGATTTAACATTTAGATTTAGATTTAACATTTAGATTTAGATTTAACATTTAGATTTAACATATATATTTAAGATTTATATTTAGCATTTAGATTTAACATTTAACATTTAGTTTTAGTATTTAAATGTTGTTGTAAATGTGCAAAAAAATGACTGCCGAAAATTCACATCACGTTTTTAAATGCTGTTTGAAGCTAAATGTGACTAAATCTTGCTGTTGTTTTGCTAAATGTGACCAAATCTTGCTGTTGTTGTTATAATGGGCTGCTTTACAAACGGCACCCCATACACCTGACTCTGACAGGGATTAGATAATAAAATGAGTGAATAGAACCTCGCTGTGCCCTGCGCCTCACCCACCAGTCTGATTGTGCGCCCGTTGGAAAGGGGAAACATATTCGAGTCCCCTCTTTTATTTCTACCATTTTACTCCTACACTGTCCTTGGAGCAGCAGTCACCACCATGGTGGCAAAACACCAAGAGATTTCGTGATAGCTGCAGCTGCCTGCGACCGTTCGTGCTCAGACAACTCACTTCTTTGATCGAGAGAAGTGAAATTTCTCAGCTGTTTCGGGGGTCTGGATACATCACAGTGCAAAGAAAAAAGGGAGTAAGTTTCACTTAAAACCCCACTGCTACAGGAATTTTCTATTCACTGTCATCAAATTTGCATTATCGGATTAGGTCCGATATTACAACTTTAATAAAGGATTTCTTTAGAAATGTTCTCAATGATGACCACCCAGGCTGATTCTGAAAGTTAAAATCTTATTCCGATCGGAGTACCAGCGCTTCATTTCGTGTGGGGAAGTCCCCCGGATTCTGCTCGATACGCTTCTACTCACCTCAGGCGCTCCAGAGCCCCGCCGTCCTCCGTCATGACTGCTCCACCAGCATGGTGGATGTTTCTGTCTTTTATAGCTGAGGACTGTGCGTGAGTGTGCTTGTTTGTTTAACGTCTGGAACAGGTTTGCCCTCGACTGCCCTACAAGATGTCAGATGAGTGCTATAGCAGCGATAAAAGAGACGTTGGATGTAGGTACGGAGGACGAAAAGAGGCAGAATGAAAGATATAAATACATCTTTAAATAAATACTTTAATATGTCATTAATTTATTAAAATGGAATATAATTAATAAATGTGTCATTAAATGGGTCATGAATGAATTCAAATGAGAATTAAATAAATAAATGTGTCATTAAATGTGTCATTAATTTATTAAAAAAACTGTTAATTCCAGGTAAAAGCATGTATAATTATTTCACTATTTAATTAATCATTTCATGGACGATGTTGGATTACTTTATGAGTTTATTTGTCAAACTCACCAAGTCAATTGGTGGGACTGATGCTGATCTAGTGTGATCCATTACTTTGGTCTGAAGCCTTTAGTTTGAAAACGGACAGGCGCTTGGCACGTAATAATGAAAAAAAAAAAACTGCTCCAACGTTAAATTACGATTTTTAAAAACCTTGATTATCCAATAATTATTGACAAATTGAGTTTTAGATTAAAACACTATCGTTTGTTTTCTCAATTTTTTAAGAACTTAGAAAGAAAAAGCAGCAAAGACACATGTGAGAACTTTGATAACGTCATCTATTCAAAAAGAAAACATTAAACAACCATGTCATGAGTATTAGTATATAGCTTCTCTCTCAGGCAAGTATTTTTGAGGATAAATTTTATTTTTGAACAACTACAGTGCTCTCGATCAATCCAAAATGTTAATAAACCTCAAACCTGAATATTTAAGGGAGTAAAAGTGAGATTTTGGCTTCCTTAGGAGAATATCTATGTGTGCACAATTATTGGGGGCAGCTATTAGTGTGCAGAATTATTATGCAACTAAATTAAAAATGAAAAATGTTCCATCTCACTTGTTTTTTCTCACTTGTTAAAGTGAGAATGATAAACAAACAACTCAATTTACAAATAAAAATTGTTGAAATTAAAAAAAAAAAAATCAGTGACCAATATAGCCACCCTTCTTTTCATTAACAGTCATAAGCCTTTCATTCATGGAGTCTTTCAGTTTCTTGATCTGTTGACGATCAACTTTTTGTGTTGCAGTAACCAAAGCCTTCCAGACACTGTTCAGAGAGGTGTACTGTCTTCCTTCACTGTAAATTTCCCGTTTAAGAAGGGCCCACAAGTTCTCAACAGGGTTTAGGTCAAGTGAAGGAGGCCACGTTATTATTCTTTCGTTTTTAAGGCCTTTACTGGCAAGCCACATAGTGGAGTACTTTGTTGCATGCAATGGAGCATTGTCCTGCATAAAAATCATAGTTTTCTTGAAAGATGCAGACTTTTGCCTGTACCACTGCTTGATGAAAGTGTCTTCTCAAAACTGGCATTGGATTTGGGAGTTGATTTTAAGTCCATCTTTAACCCAAAAGGTCCAGCTAGCTCATCTTTAATAATACCAGCCCATACCAGTACCCAGCCTCCATCTTGCTGGTATCTGATTCGAAGTGGAGCTCTGTGCCCATTACTGATCCAGCCACGGGTCCATCCATCTGGTCCGTCAAGAGTCACTCTCATCCCATCAGTCCATAAAACCTTTGAAAAATCTCTCTTCAGATATTTCTTGGCCCAGTCTTGACGTTTCAACTTGTGTCTTGTTCAGTAGTGGTCAGATTTCAGCCTTTCTTACCTTGGCCATGTCTCTGAGCACTGAACACCTTGTACTTCTGGGCACTCCAGGTAGGTTGCAGTTCTGGAATATGACAGCACCGGAGGATAAGCGATTCCTGGTAGCTTTACGTTTGAGTCTTCTCAAATCTTTGGCAGTTAATTTGCGTCTTTTTTTCTTAACACATTTCTTGCGACCCTGTTGACTATTTGCATCAAAATGTTTGCTGGTTCTGTGATCACGCCCAAATATCTAAGCAATTTCAAGAGTGCTGCATCCCTCTGAAAGACTTTTTACATTTTTTGACTTTTCAGAGTCACTTAAATCTCTTTTTTGGCCCATTTTACCTGAGGAAAAGAAGCTGCTTAATAATTATGCACACCTTGATATAGGGTTTTGATCTCCTTAGGCCCCAGCCTCCCTCATTACACTAATACACATTACCTGATATGCTTATATCCAATACGCATTCAAGTTTATACAGCTTAGAGTTGGAAAATATGCATAAAAATGATGATATGATCAAAATACTCACTTGCCTAATAATTGTGCACACACACACACACACACACACACACACACACACACACACACACACACACACACACACACACACACACACACACACACATATAGCCTGACAACTTTCTGTTTCAGCATTTACATGACAAAACTTTACTTTTGGTCAGTTTTCTGATTTAAATATTAGACCCAGCTAGTATAATCATGTTTGCTGAATGCTTACATGCCCCCCCCCCCCACATTCTTTCTAGATAAATAGTGACACAGCCAACACAATGCTGCTACTGTTTATGTTTCTTCATGCAAGCAAACCCCCCCCTCCAATGCATCATACAAACAACCAGCACACTCACACACACACACACACACACACACACACACACACACACACACACACACACTTCATCATTTCTGTTATGTAAGAATTACATAATAGAAAAAACAAAATAGAAAATTAATAAACTTGGGATAATGGGGCTACTGTATAAAACAAAGCAGTGAGTTATATAATCTGTTGAGTAACAAACAAAAACTAGTATTTAGTTTTTCAGGGTTGGGTGACAAGGTGAGATAAAATGGAAAGAATGTGGATTAAATCATAAAAAATAAAAATAAAAAAAAAACAAGAAAAGAAAACTTTTATTCTGGATCAGTTGTTACATGATGTTTTTTTTTTACATTATTTGAGGGCTCAACACTTGTTACATTATTGACCAGTTATTGCATTTTGGCCTTTGATACCTTTTGTTAAATAATATTTCAGGTCATTGCTACAAAGTGGGCACTAACAAGCCCTACAAGCCTGGAGCATGTATGATATGACTGCTGGAATTTCTATTGGTCTTTTTTTTTGTGTTATATAGATTTATTGACTCATTCGTGTAGTTTTGCACATTTGCTTTCCATGCATTTCTTCTAGTTTATTCTAGATTTCTTCTAGATTATTTTAAATGCAATAAAAAAGGAGCTTGTCTCACAAATGCAGGTGCACAAAATGCATTTTACTTAACTTAACATTGTGAAGTACATAGCTGCTTAATTAAGTGACCCACACCTCTCTAAAGAGCTGAGTCTATTGTTTATAGGTAGGTAGGAACTCTCTCTTCTCTCCCTTTTTTTTGTCAAAACACTCTCTATAAACCCAGTGGGTCACAGGCTACCTACTTTCCTTAAAATCAGTCATCTCCAGTTTGGGCTCGCCTGCCCTCGCCCTTGGGCTGATCCAAGGGTAACCTGTTTGACTGCCTGATGTATTGCTTGTGTTTTGTAGTACTTCTGCTGCTGTATGTGCTGATAAGATCCAGGCCAACCAGGGTAGGCTTAAAGCTGCTCAACCAGGAGAAATGTTATCATGGTGTATTTGGTTGAATAAAAGAGTAAAAAAGGGGGATGATAGCATAGTTTCATGAAAAGCAAGCAGGTATATAAAGAAAATGCTCCAAAACTACATCACCACTTAACTGTAACAAATTCTTTACCAATTATCACAGTGCAAGACTGGTATCTGGTGTCCATACTGGACACATGAAATTTACTGAAGAACATTTTGGTCATGAAAGGATGCTATACAATAATGATTACTCAGCTCATTTTCACTCTATTGCTTTTATCCCTCTCATCTGCTGGACATATATAGTCAAAAGACATCATCTGAAGACATATTATCATCTCTTTCTCCATCTCTCTTTATCAGTCTTTCCTCTGTCCATCTGTCTTTACTCATCTCCCTCTATCACTCTCTCCCCTGTCCATATCTCTCTTTTTTCATATCCCTCTCTCCCCTCTCTAAACCCAGCTCAGTCTCAGCAGATGGCTGTCTAATATGAGTTTGGTTCTGCCTGTTGAAGTTTAATTTCATTTCATATCAAATTTTTATTTATTCTTGAAAGGACATTGAGGTTTCCCTAATTTCCAATGCCATTGAGATAACAGCAGTTGAAATAAGCATATGTAAATAAAATTTACAAGACAATGGAATCTATAAAATGAAGAGAGGTAAGAGCTTCATTATTCAAAGTTTGTTAAAGGACATTCCAAGAGTTCAGGGCATAGGAAAATGTTGTTTTTTCCAAGTTCACTGTAAACTGTAGGAATTTTAAAGTTTAGCAGATGGGAGGAGCTGGTCATGTAGGGAAGAGTGGGGTAAGATAAGCTATTTTTCATATTTCTGATCACTACATCAAGTACATAGTTTTGTCTCTAACTAGTGTATTTGCATTTATTTCAAGAAGTTGTGCATCCCTGCAAACCAACAGAATGAGTGTAAACATAACTGTCTTGATAGTATAGCATGCCAAAAAAAGTGGTCTCCTATGCCCCCCCCCCCCCCACACACACATTCATGTGTATTTTTATCTATTATACACGCTTCAAATGGTACAATAATTCTTTACATTATTATTGCATATAACTGCTAAAAAGCTGTTTTGTAAAAAGCCATTTTAACATGAGAATGCCTTTGAGTTATTTAGAACATTCACAGCTGTATTTTTGAAAAGAAAAAGTAAAACATTTCAAAAATCTGAACTGAAACTCTGATCCTCTCATCAGACTTCTTTACTTTCTCATTTGAGCCACTGGCTCAACTTACCCCTGGCCAAATGGCTCGACTGACCCCAGAACTACCATGATGACTTCATTAGTCCTCTAAGCTAAAATAGTGGACTTTTCTGTTAGGTTTTTGACCATATGTTCTAGCTCACAGATACCACAATTGATGTA